GTCATTGTCCATAGAAGGTTGGGACATTGATTTACCAGAAAAATTTGCTTGACCAATCCACCAAATCATTGTTGATTCAACAGTAATAAGCAAATAAGTAAGATCAATGAGGGCCACATCGTGGTCCATCATATAGTACTCTCTAATGAACTCACTATATGAGTCAGGAAGTGATTGAAGAACCCAGTCAATAGCCAACTTCCTTGAGGCATCAACACCTAACATCCTCAACCTATCAATGTGTGACTTCATCTCTAAGACGTGTGCACACATAGACTTTCCATCTTCGTGTCTTTTTGCCAATAGGGCTTGAGTGACTTTAAACTTTACAATCCTTCGAACACGTGGGTCAGGTAAAACAAAAGGGAGGAGGTGGAGGAATTGAATAATGATCTCGTGCTCCTCGACCGAATCGTGGAATATCATCTTCATGTGGAAAACTTTTTCCATGGGATTTGGGAAGACCACAGTTAGAATCACACATCTACAAAACGGGAGAAAATTCAAGTTAGTCGATTGAGTCCTTAATAAAACACCCAAATGAGATATTTAGGCTAGGACCAAACACAATATTCTACAACTCGGAAGAGAGATGTTGTAATCCAGTTGCAAAACATTTGCAGGTACGTAAATGACGATTTACCAATTTGCACCATGAAAAACAAAAAAGAAATTTAAGTTTTAAATGAATTGAAACTCCTAAATCTTTTGAGATTCATTGAACTTTTCAATGTCATGATTAATCCCAATTATGCCCTTCAAGTTTGTGATTGGGATACAGAGGATCACAAACAAGGTGTGAATAACCATGCAAATTAGCTTGGTACTGCCGAAGACGATTATCACCTAATCAATGTGCCAGTTAACTACACACGCTTCATTGATCTATGATAATCTACGAGCTACCCATTGCCATCCTTCATTGGTCCCATATTAGTATGCCGGTTAACTACACACGCTCCACCAATGACCAACAAGGTGCAATGTGCAATTTCATGGATTAGCACCAAATTCACATTTTTCCTAAGTAACTAAGATGTGGGGAATTTATAAAGGTGTTTAGTTACTTGCATTACATTATACTTATAATGGAAGGTGGTGTCCTATCCTACCCGTTCGGCTAACGACCCTCCACTAGTCAAGGGTGCGGTGGGTAAGAGTGGATACCCAATGACAGTCATTTTACAGGCTGATTCTTTAAACACCCCTTATAGACCAGCTTCGTGAATGAGGCCTACTAACGGTAATACCAACTCTTTACTCATACATATGTAATATTAGACTTTTAATTTTATATAGTATAATGATATATTTTACACTTTAAAATACTATGTGGTCTAGTTTAATAAATTATACTGTTAATTTAATTAAAATTAAACCATATCATTATGGATTTATTCTCTATTTTAATTATACACTTAATTAATTTAATAAAGATATAAGGGTGTAATTTGAACTTTTTCAAAATACTAGGGTTTTAGAATTTAATATTTCAAAATTAAACTTTTAATCAAATATTCAAATTCCAAAACTTGAGGGCAAGTTTTGAAACTTTTCAAAATCTTCTAGATCAAATTACATATAATTTAATTAATCAAATAATTCAATTTGACATAATTCAATTTCCTTACAAGATAATTCAAATCAAAACTACAAGTAATTAGTCTTTATCTTATAAAACAAGTAATTATCTTAATTTTGGCAATTATCTACTATTTGGATTAGGATAATCAATACCATAATAAAAAAATCAGACTTTATCTGTTAAAAACATTTTTGGTAATTATCCCAAGCCAAAATAGGTCAAAATCCCAAAAAATCTGGCATCTGACCCTCTAACTCGTCGAGCCAACTTTGGACTCATCTAGTTGCCAGTGAACTCGATGATTACACATATAGACTCAGCGAGTCAAGCCTCCAGATCCATTTTTTCGTGAGTTTCAGCTTTGAATGATCAAACATAGCATCAAATACATTAGATAAACAACCTAGGCTCTGATACCACTGATGTGTTTTGAGCATTACATCAATCCTATGGTGCACATGCAAACCCTAAAGCTTTGGATCTAGTTTGTCTAGTTGTACATGCAGTAATAATCCAAAGCTCATAAACCCTAGATCTAACATACTATAATCGAAGTTAACATATGAATAGGGTTAGGAATATTACCTTGATTGTTATGTAGCAATAACAATCACAAACCTTCTTGATCTTGACTTCTGAAGGTCTAGTACCCCGAGTGTTGCACCTCTAATAGAGTCACAAACACTATTAGCAATACGGATGAATAAGAGATATAGGAGAAGGCACAAAAATCATCCTAGGGTTCTCTCAAAAGGTTAGGAACCATTTTGGTGGCCTAAAGGGTTCCTTTTATAATTAGGCTTCTAGGGTTATCAACATGGAAACCCTAATCCAGTTGCTTAGTCCTTAAGTAGCCCAAAGATCCTTCTAGAAGTCCCTTGAACGATTTCTATATGGACTCTCATAGAGAATTCGTTCACTACTTCCTTATGGATTCTAATCTTAACTTTGTAACTATCTTAAAATTACAGTATCGGTCATCTTTATTTAACTAATCTCTTTTTACCACAAAATTTTATTCTAAATTAATTCTTTATCAATATTAATTAAATAATATGATTTCTCTTTTAATATATAATTCACATAATATATTAATAAATCATAATTAATCATCTTTCTCCTTAATTCATTCTATCAGTTGGTATGGTGAAGGCAACTCAAAAGGACCATGCTCATAATCGGGTCAAGTACATACGAAATAGTTATGGGCTTAGACACCTAATCCAACATATATATATATATATATATATATATATATATATATATATATATATATATATATATATATATATATATATATATATAGATGTCAAAACACTTCAACCAAAATTTATTTAAAATCTAATATTTCAAATGTTTTTTAATAATGATTGTAAAATTTTCAACATGTGTTACTTAATTGATTGATTAATAAAAAATATTAATGTTTTGAAACTCCCAACTCTTAAACTTATATTATTTAATTTGTTAGTTAACTAAAATATTTTTCCTACATAATGATCACATTTTTATGATTGGTTACTCATATTTGTTTATGTAATTAGAAAACAAGATGTACATAGAATGACTACTTCAATTTTACATAGAAATCAATACCACTAGAGAGGTATGTTATCTTTAATCGGTGGTAGGAGATCCACATAACCTTTTTAATTATTTATATTAATGCTTAGTAATATATGTTTTATATTCCTATTCACCTTAATTTTTTAGGTATAAATTAAGAAAGAGGATTCTCAACGCACCAACATAAAGTCAAACGTACGCATTGCAAAATATGTAAGTAAAATTTAATATCATATTTACTAATCGACTTATTTTAAAACTTTTGATGATATTTATGTATAATGATATATTTTGTATGATTTTATTCTTAATTTCAATGTTTAATATTTGAAAGTTCATATATGAAACCTTGGATGTTTTATGTAATATAAATAGTGTAATACAAAATTTATTAGTTCGATATTGTTTATTAATAGCTCATTCAAAACATCTTATTTCTTATTTTATCCAAAAAAAAAATATCGGACATAAGAAAAGTAGATTATATTAATGTTATACAAAAACTTATAATATATATTAGATATTATAAATGTAAAAGTAAAGTTTATAAGGTATGAACTATATTAGATAGTATCAAAATATAAATTGATGGATTTTTATGTTATTTGATAATTCGTTTAATGCCCAAAACATGACTAAAAACGTAAATTTTAACATATTTTTAGTTTTTCTCATAATTATTTTAACCACTTAAATGCATTAATGCGCAACGCACGAGGTTACTCCTAGTTTTTCATAAAAGAAGGACAGGAAGTTGCAAAAGGAAAGGTCGAGATGATAGTTAAACAACATGTCACACCTGTGATTGTTACGGGTTTGCTCTGAACTTATTCACCATGATTGTTCTGTCAAACATGCATTTTTTTATCTGATACCTATTGGTTAGGAAAATACATTAAACAGTTGGTCTGATTTTGGTCCTTAACCGACCTATACACACCTGACATTATATCTCTAATATTTTTTTCAACATTTGGTAATTGATAAGTATCAAATATACTTAAATTTTTTAAATAGATCAAAGACATATGACATATTAGTATATCCCATATCGAGATGACACAAACTTTTATGTTTTTATATATGTTGGAGTCTTATTTCTCTTTATAAATGATCTTGTGGAAAGATAATCATGGACCCCACATGTATTTTAGATGGATACAAAGTAGACATTTGCACCTCCATGGGCTGACACATTGTATAACCCTAATGAGTCTTTATAAAAGACAATCTTAAACTTAATATACATTTTAGAAAACAGATCCACACTCTAACGCTCATAATTTGTTGCTATATTATTATTATTTTTTCTTTCATCTCTTTTTTATAAATTTCCAAATTTCTATTTTTTGGTATTGTTTGGTAGGGTGGGAGTTACATGTGTAACACTCGATTTTTGCATGCTAGATCACTGTCATATCATCCCAATTTTTGTCTTACATTACCTCACCTCCCCACCCTAATCAACCCAAATCCCGAAGTACGTCCCTTCCAATAGATATATGTACTTGAATCTTTAATTAGTCTTTCTTGCAGTCTCTTTCGTGTGTGTTGCCTAGTTACATTTTTGTGTTTTTTTAGAAATTAACCCTTGAAATACAGCCTGTATAACTATAACTCTTGCAACATAACAGAAGTAGAAGCCTCTAACTCTCCTTGATGATGTTCACAAGAGCCCATCAACATCCCTCTTTCAACTTCTAAAATCATGCATGAAACCATGAATAGAGTGTATCTTTGCCTCTGCCAAAGGCAACTCAAATCACCCACATGATCCTCTCTCTCTCTCTCATAAATTTCTATTAGGGTTCCGGTCTGAATCTCTAGCTCTCTGTCTCTCTCTATTCTGATGTCTAACAAAATACCACTAAAACACGCTACAAAAGATGAGACCCAAAGCTCGGGTGGTAGTGGCAGAAAAACATCTTCGTTGAGGCCACCGGAACAAACCGTCAAGTGCCCAAGATGCGATTCAACAAATACCAAGTTTTGCTATTTCAACAACTATAACCTTACGCAGCCCAGGCACTTTTGCAAGACATGTAGAAGGTACTGGACCAAAGGTGGAGCCTTACGCAACATCCCAATAGGAGGAGGATGCCGGAAAAACAAGAAAACGTCAAAGACTTCCACTTCAAAGTTTACCATCGGAGATTCATCATCGGATAATGGAGTGTTGAAGTTGTTGGATCGTCATTCACCACCACTCATGGATTTTCAACTTGGAGGGATAAACTTCCCTCCTAGGATTAACCAATTCTCTTCCTCATATGGAGACACATCATGTAATCTACCTTTCATGAACCTCGATCCTTTAGGGGTTAATTTCGGTTTGTCAACTAATGTAACAAAGCAAGGAGATCATCATCACAATCAAAGTGGAGGAGCGATAGGAAATTTTCAAGAAATGGGTTTTACATACACGAATCTTCATCAGAATACCAATCTTGCTTCTTCTATAGAGTCTTTAAGTTCTTTAAACCAAGATTTGCATTGGAAGTTACAGCAACAGCGGTTGGCTATGCTGTTCGGTGGTGATGCTGGAGAAGAACATGGTCATCAGCAAAAAGAAACCGGCTTACAACCGATCTTGTTTCAGAATCTTGAAATTTCAAAACCGATAGCATCCTCCATGGGCGGTGAATCAAGAAAAGTTGGTAGCAGCAGTGGCGACGGTGGCGTTGGTGGTATGGCCACTGAGTGGTTCTTTGGCAACAGTTATGCATCGGGGAACGTGAATCCAGCTTCCACAGAAAATGATCAAAATGGAGACATCAACACCTGGAATAGGATTCAAGCTTGGAATCACATGAATCAGTACGCGGCACTTCCATAACTTTAGTAGAGAAATATGCCAGGATGGATAGGAATCTATATATTATCATGCAAGTAATTTCGTTAAAGATTGAAATGGGAAGAATTTAGGGTAGTCGATCTACGTTTAAATTATATTTTCTCCTAGAAGCGCTTCAAAGTTCTTGTTAGTCTATCTATTGTTATTGTAATTGTTTTAATGAAATGTTTTTATCTTTCACCCATGAAATACACAGCAACTAGCTACTTGTTTCAGAAGTTTGATCCGATCACATGCTCAATGGTTTATTAGATAATACCGGAATACAGGTGGGGGAGTTAAGAAAGAGTAATTAATTAGGTGGTGTTTTTCCTTTTGGGTTCTAAAATTGATAGATTTTGAAATTTTTATTTAGAAATCGTAAGTTAATTAAACAGGTTTTACTAATAAAGTTGGTCCCATTAACATATTTTTAGGTGAATAGCCACGGGTCGAAGTGAAGATGGAGGTGAAGGTGTGGGGCAGAATATCTTTTGATTTTTTGATTTTGTGGAATTGTTTCAGAACTCTCACTGTCTCTCTCAATCTGGAAACTGTGTTCCTCAGACTTCTAGTTTAACAGTTCTGTGAAACATAACAATAGCTAGGCAACCTCTTTCCTTAACTACTACTAGACCTAGCCTTTTCCAGACTCAACCCCATCCCTCTCCCTCTCCCTCTCCCTTCTCTCTCTCTCTCTCTCTCTCTCTCTCTCTCTCTCTCTCTCTCTCTCTCTCTCTCTCTCTCTCTCTCTCTCTCTCTCTCTCTCTCTCTCTCTCTCTCTCTCTCTCTCTCTCTCTCTCTCTCTCTCTCTCTCTCTCTCACACACACACATACACACATTCACACACACACATATTTTTATAGTAATAAACTTCTTATATTGTTTGAATGAAAATACAAAAAGAAACTTGAGATTTTGTTATCATGACTTTCATATGAGCCAACTTTTAGCAATTTATATATTCTTTTGGTTCCATTTCTGTATGTACTGATTAGGTCATTTTTGTGATATAATTGTCTGAAAAAGTGTTGCTTAGAAAGTGAGGTGAAAGGACAATTAATAGATTTAGAACTGGAAATTAATGAAATAAGAAAGTATCATGATTTAAAAAGTTTAATGATTGTTAAAAATGTCATCCAGTTTTAGATTCTGTTTAGATGGATCTTGGATATTTTTTGAGTTCGCTTTAATTTCATGTTACGTTATATATGCTATTATTCCTCGCGTTATAGTCGTTACAAAGAAATTGATGATATTATTACTATGGATCCATATGCCTTTTAAGGTTGTATTTGTTGAAAGATGTTATGCAATTTAAATGTGATAAAAATAATTTCATTGGACTGTATTCAAATTTTAACGATTGTGAAAGAGTAGTCGGTGACAAAATCTGTATATGTCTCGGTATACTTTTTTTTTTTTTTTTTTTTTTTTTGTAGATGATAACGTCATATGAACAATGTAAATGCCGTTATACTGAGTTTTAAAATCACATGTCTGGTTCAAAAAACTCAACCGTAAACCCTAAATGCATGAGTACCAGCTTTTTCACCCAATGTCTCCCGTGTGGGTTTGGAATAATAGGAAATGTTTTTTTTTTTTTTCAATTATCTATAGATGTATTTCTATGAGTTATTAAAAATATAAAAACGTGATCACTAACTTATAAATATTAAAGAAAATTTTATATAAATATTAATCGTGAGGCCCCTTAGTTAGGGTGTCAATTTATGACACGACACGACAAAAATACACGACACGAAACGAAATTGGGACGAAATCAAAATTCGAATTCGTTTTCGTGTCGTGTTCGTGTCAAGTATAAAAAACACGATGTCGTGTCGTGTCGTGTTCGTGTTTACAAATCCACACGAAATTGACACGATTAAGCATGTGTTTGTCGTGTTTTTCGTTTTTATTGTGTTATATATGATTAAATATGAATTAAATAAAATAACAGTTATATAATATTATCTTTGTCGTGTCGTGTCGTGTTGTCATTTTTTAATTGGTTCGTTTTCGTGTTAGTGAAAAAAAAAACACGACATCGTGTCATGTCGTGTTCGTGTTACAAAAAACATTGTCGTGTCGTGTCGTATCAGACAAAAACACGACACGACAGCCCGATTTGACAGGCCTACCCTTAGTGAACAAATCTTGCATGTGATTGACTCTTTATTTTTTTATTTTTATTTTCTGCATTGTTTTTGTTATTTATCTGTTTTCACTGATGGCTACGTATACTGTGTAACCCATTAAGAAAGAAATTGTTGTCACTACGTTTTACCTTCTCAGACAACCCACCGACTTAATTCCTTGAAACCATACGAAACCCACCAGTTATCACCTGGTTCTATCTCATCTTCCTATCCACTATACTTCCCGATCATTCACCGCTCTTGTTATCTTCGCCCCTGCTCCACCATCTCTGTTGATGCTATTCTGTGCACCGCCTCTATTACCCAACCTCTACCCTTGCTATTTTTCTTTGTTGGTGTAATCAGTTGAGAGTAGTTGTCGTCCAGCCATAGATATTTTCCCTTCTATTCCTTCACCGCTCATCGACATTTTTTCTTCCTTCAATATCAGACAAACCCTAATTGCTGGGTACGCTTCCTTGCTTCTTTCTTCGGTGACCGCTCAAATCAGCGATTGTCAAGCATCGGTTTCCCCACAATCATGTCGATTTTGTTTTGTTTATCTCAGATGCTTTTCGGTTCTTCTTCACTACTTTATCTTCCTTATCTCATGTATTTGTGTTTTTTCTCATGGTTACAACTACTCAAGGAGCAACTACTACAATGTTCCTTATTTTTTTCTTCAGTGAGATCGGTTCCCAACTCCTTCTCTACAAGATCTCTGTGAGTTTTTATGTTCATAAATTTTGCCGACCTCTTGCTTAACTATACATCTCATTAGGTTGGTATCGATTGTTACTTTCATTATGTCAAAACCGTAATTGCATTTCTGATTCATTGCTAGCTGTTTTATTGAAATAACATCTCCAATGCTCTGAAGTGTGGTGACTTGAAATCTTAATGTATCTCATGTCTTAATTCTTTAAAAAATGATTGTTCAGCATTTAGCTGAGATTTTCAACGTGCAAACATTTATTGCACGTTTGTTGTGAGGAGGGCGAGAGGAGAGAGGCATCAATCGCACCAGCAAGAATTTCTCTGGAAGGTGATCAATGATTTCATTTTGTTCATAGTCAATTAGAATCGTTATTAGGGCTTTCTTTTGTTCGTTTTTTAGTTTGTATAACAGGATAAAATGGATTTGTCTTTGGAATCCCAAATGAGAATAAATCATGAAAGAGACTTGAAATCTTTTAATGATTTAACCAACACTCAACAATCTGATTTTTGTTTTTTATGTGATCTTTGACTTTCTTTGACCAATATGAAATAGGAAAAACCTGGGTTTTCTGGTTGTTGTCGATTACTTTGCATATTGCCCTTTAGTTGTGTTTCTTCTTCAACACAGCCTACTAAAATACCTGGAAGAGGAGCAGTGTTTGTGTTGTTAGCATTAATTTCTTCATATCAAAGGTCGATTAATCATTTTTTTATTGCTCATTTGATTTTCGGTGTTTATGGTTGATGATGCTTTTGTCATCTCCTCTTTTTCAAACTGTTTGCAGCCTTGGTTAGGAGCGACATCTGCAGTCAACATCATCTTTTGATATAGGTTTTCTCTACAGGTAATGAAAACCATTTTCAATTCCTAAAGCTTGAATATGGAAGATAACTAATCGAGGATATGTTTGGTACAGGCGTTGTGAAATTGGAGTGTCTGACTATCTTAATTTTACGTACACATGTTTCTCCATTGATGATATTATTCTCTTTTTCCTTTCATTTGACATTGATTATCTTCCTGTATAAAGATTGTATAAAGATCTTACTGCATGTGGATGTAGAAAATGAATCAAGTTGAAATTATCATGTTTATAGGTTTACGTGTTAGTTGTTGCTGCATCGTTGATCACTTTTTTTTTCTTTGACAAATTTAGGTTTTATGAAGAAAGATACTATTAATTAGGAAATTTTGAACAGTTGTGTAACACTCATAAAATTTTGAAAATTTTAAAACTTTTACATAAATCCAAAACCATCATTTATTACATATTCTTGTCAAAATAGATTTCGCATCATAGTTTTTCCCAGAAATCATAACATAAAATACGAGAAGGGGCACGATCAAGCCTTCACCTTTCCGCAATCATCTGAAGTACCTGAAACATAACCAAAAACTATAAGCCCAGCTTAGTGAGTCTTCCCCAAAATACCACCACATAAACATAACCAGCAATAACATGCACATATGATCCTTCTGCTTGACTGGACCGTCTCGCAGGCCTTCAGCCTATCTAGACCGCTTACGAGCCTTCGGCATGACTGGAACACCTCGCAGTGCCTACAACCTATCTGAACCGCTCGTCGGGCCTTCGGCCTGAATGGATTGCCTCGCAGGCCCACGGTCTATCCGGGCCGCCCTGGGTCTGTTGGCCTTTAGCAAAAAGCATGACCACCTCAACCCAACCACACACATACAAGTCAGTATATACATAACTCATAAACACATAACCAATCCACAGACAAGCACACATCATATATATCAATAAGTATAGGATCATCCTATCTACTAGGATACCAATCTAACAGATCGTAACAGCATAATAGCATCCTAAGATAATCAGTATAACAATCCAAAAGGGTCGGCATTGGTACCTTCGACCCATAAGTATAGTGTGGAAAACTCACCTCACAAGCACCACTCACTGATAAGATCAAACTCTCAAATCTCATCTCCTGACTTAAATACCTACAACCAACATGTAACCATCTCTATCAAAACCCTAAAATACCTAAAATACCCTCAACGCCAAACTTGGTTAACCATGGTCAAAGTCAAAGTCAATGGTTAAGGTTAACAGCCCATGTTGACCCAACTCGTTGAGTGAACCTAGCAACTCGTCGAATTTCTTTGGTACTCG